TTAAAAGTATCTCTAGTTTAATAAAATGTTAAGTAAAAATATTTAGTGTAATAAGAGACTAGTACAAGCTACAAAGAAAACCGTTGCATTTAAAATGTCTGGCTTTATTTTCGAAATTTATGGCTTCCTTGTGTGCAGCCACTTTTGACACTGTACAGTATCAGTACACTGTATAGTATCTTTAAGACACAGTATTTTGACACTGTACAGTATCTTTAAGACATGTTCTGGTCCTTATTTCAATGTTCCTCGTTTCGTGGCAATCCCCGAAGGACACAGTACTAAGCTCTTTATTTATATTTATCCATGTATTTATTTTTAATTCCATCGACGGAATCCAACAGGCCGAAAAGCACCTAACCCAGTGGGCCAGCTGTTCCGTCGATGGTGAAAAGAAAGAAAGAAAGTATCTTTAAGACACTGTACAGTATCCGTGCAGGTAAAATATTAGTCAGAGAGTACAGGCAAAGGTTATCACATCTTTTTCTTTTCTTTTTTTTTTTTTTTAATTCTATGTATTATGTATAAGCCGAGTTCTGTGCCAAATATTCGATTGACTACAGAAATATCACAGTCGATTTTTTGTGCGCCTTAAAAATGACCGTGGCTTTTACGAGCAATAATAATATTAATAATAGTAATAATAATAAAGTGCGGAAAATGCTGCATTCAAGCACATTCAGAACTTCGACAGTTATAAACAAAATTAAAATATCTTCAGAATTCTTTGCCTAATTCTTCCAATTGCCACTCATAGCCAACTTAACCTTTGAACGTTCCATGGTATGCAAAAAATAGAAGGTACAAAAACTTGAGGACTGTAGATTCTCTAACATTAAGCCAGGCCCATAATTTCTTCAGGAATTTTGATGCCTTCACGTGTGACACTATTAAACATATTGCCAATTACGATCTTCATAAGATTTAACCCTTAATGGCAAGAAGTATTTTCTTCAAAATCTAATATTTCTTTGTAGATTTTAAGGAAGAATTCTTCACACTGGTTAGGTTAGGATGCTTCTTTTTTGTGGCATTTCCACTAAAGCTGTTATTGCATTAATATCGGTAGCTGCCACCGACAATACCGACTTGCAGAGTTTTTTAAATACGGATAATACCGGTAACGACAAAATCGATAATGCAATGGGCCTTTGAGTCATTTTAGTTCCTGCATGTATGGGTAGTGGAGGCAAAACATTTTTTTGGCATTTATTTGGTATGCATTATTGTCGCTATAAAAACATCCGTGTGGGCGTTAAGTCACCAGTAAGTAACTTATGAAATAAAGCCAAAATATAATTTTTTAAGTGTCTGTAAACATACCTTCTGCATGCTAAATGAAACCCCACTTTTGAAAACAAAAAATTGTTTGTTAACATAACCATTTCGGACCGTAATATATCGCTTATTTTTAACAAAACCATTATAAAAACTCATATTCTTTTATTAAAGAAATGAAATAAAATTAATTTTCCAAACGAGATATGCTATTTCTTTCAGTTTTAAGCGAAACGCAGCTGTTACAGGCGGGAACTAAGTTATTTAGGGAGGAAAAAACAAAGTATTTACAAGGATCTGCCGCCTAAATGTTTAGTGTTTTTATACCCAGACCGTAAAGTAACCAGGCCTCCGAAAGAAAACGTGTGATTTTTTAATATTTTTATTCATTTAAAAAAATTCTGCAGATAACATATTAGGAAATAATATAAGCAGGCAAAATTTCTCTTAAATGGCAACACTTGTCGCATTACAGTGGCAACAACTGCATTATCTCTTGGATGATCAATGGCAGATAGTGTAAGGTAATTTAAGTGTAATGTAATGCAGAAAAAATGTTTTAGGAAGATTCCGCTAAAGATGTTTCTAACCTCAAAAATTTGGTGTCTTCTTTTTTCCGCAATTCCTGTTTCCACGGTTGTCAAAAACATTCCCGTTTCCCCGAAATCATCAATCTTCATTACACCTCTTCCCAAAAGAGTTACATAGTGGGGGGGGGGGCCGAGTGGACCTTGGCCTCTCCCGAAATGTAGAAAGGCAAAAAATTTTTAGATTTAAAAAGAATCTTTAAAACAAATAATCGAAAAATATTTACGATCTCAGATCTTTGCATGAATGAAGCTAATACTGTATTTAAAAGGAGAGAGAGAGATGTTCAAACACTGCGATGATTTTAGCAATGAACTAAAAGATTGTTTCCTAAAGTAAAAAAACATTATTCTTCCAAAATTCTACATAAAGGTGAGTTATAATAAAATCTTTCAGAATAAATATTCGTTTTAAAACGACGACTTCTTTGGTCTTAATTCTTTCATTTGCATAAATGAAAGAATTAGAAGCTGCTCATAATTCTTTCATTTATGCAAATCCAATAAACTACATTTTCCTTATTTTTATTCTAAATTCGATTCTGATAATTTTTATAAAGGGCTAAAGGTTTTTTTTTCCCTTTTAGTTCCAATAACGTTTAAAACATGCTTATTGATTAACATAAGATGTGAAAATAACAGCTAATATTGTAGCAGAATTACAAATGGAATGAAACTAAAGATTTCGAGAAGAGCCTAAACTAATATATATCTTCAATCTAACGAAGAGTAACTTATTCACAAAGAAACTGTTCCGCTCTTCTTAATGAGTCATCATGACATCTCCTGAGGCGCTGTGGGAGAGGGACTGTACTTGGAAAACGTGGAAAGAGGAATCGCGGAAACAGAACTAATTCCAAAAATTTGAGCAGAACAGGGATATCTCTCGAAGATTCACACGATCACAGAATTTTAAGCCCAAAGAGCGTTAGCCCAGAAGGGCTATTAATTTCGTTTTGGCATTTTCCGTCGAAAACTTTAAATGTTCGTTTCACTTTTCAAATTGTTGCCACCAAATATTATCGCCCATTGTTATATTTAAAGAAATTAAATAATGAAGAATCTGCATTAAATGCATGTATGTTTCTCGCATTGTGATAAAACAAGGGTACCAATCCTTCACCAAATATGGGCATCTGTTAGCCTTAATTTGGAATTCGTTTTATTATCGATTTCATATTTTATAACACTTTGAAACGAAATTTTGATTAACAAACTCAACGATTTCAAAGCGAGCAATTGCAATACTGAACGGGGGGGGGGAACTGTGCATCGGAAGTTCTAAATATATGCTCATTTTAAAATTACTTTGCGATATTGCTGTAGAATTGAATTTTATGGTTTAAATGGGAAGAGCATGAAACTGAATAAATAAAGGTAACGCACAGAGCGTTAGAAAAAAACGAACCTTCGGGGGTAATGTAAAATCTGAAAGCCTTCAGATTTTTATTTTAGTCCAAAGGGCCAATTTTCCCAGAAGGACTATTAATTTCGTTTTGCCATTTTGGGTTGATTCACTACAAGCGTTGTTTCACTGTTCAAATTGTTGCCATCAAATATTATCGCCCTGTATTATATTTAAAGAATTAAAAAATCTGATGTGTTACACCACATGACTTTCTTGTATGGAATATTAAATTATACGCAATTTTCCCACATGTCATTTAAACATATTGAATTAACAATTAACGATTTTAGAATTAAATCTACTTCGTCGATAGCGCTTAGAGCACAATAGAACAAATGCATTCTTTGAAAGTTCTCTATATTTATTTACCATAGCGACACTTCGGCGCTACGTCCACTTAACAGCATTAACATTCATTTTAAAACTCAAAATGCACAAAAATTATATCATCTGAAGAATTATTATAAGTTTTTTTCCAATACTATAATAAATCTAAAACGATATATAAAATAATAAATTAAACAAATAAAAAAAAAAACTTTTTCGCAGATCATTCAACGCCGCTTACCTAATGCGCATGAGCTACTTAATAAAAAAAAACTTTTTCGCAGACCATTCAACGCCGCTTACCTAATGCGCATGCGCTACTTACTAATTCAGATCGCAGTTCGCGGCAAGGCAAAAATGCATAAAATTCAAAATATTTTCATTAAAATTTTAAGGCTATAGAAAAACATAAAACACCAAATACAGTTAAAACAATTAAAAAAAACAATTTTTGCAATTAAAGTTACAGTTTCTATATAAAAATAAGCTAATAACTTAAATGTTGATTCCATAATGAATTAAGCATAATTTAATTCACAATAATAAAAGAAGACCTTACTTAGTTGTTGAAAAACTTAGTTTCTCTAGATTGACAACAAATCCACTATTTTAAATGTAAACAAACATGGAAGGCATACTAATCAGAAATTAAGCTTAGCCGCATTTAAAAAACTTTTAAATTGTTGATAATTCCACAATTATTGCATGTTTAACTAAAAGCATAAAAACCTTAACCGGAAGATAAGAGCAACATAATTCAATCATTTTTAAAGCAAAAAATGCACAATTTACAAATATATAAAAATAAAGTTACTGAGATCACTGAGCCGAGTAACAGAATGTTACATATATATATATACTTCTGGTGCGGCCGATTGCGGCCACAAAACGAGGTGCACATCTACATGTTATAGCAATCCTTTGTACAAAATTTCAACGTTCTGAGGTTACTCGTTTTTGAACGCACAGAATTTTTCCAGACAAAAAAAAAAAAAAAAAAAAAAAAATCTTTAATTTTGGTGAAATGCGCTCAATATTTTGAGTGAGAAAGGATGAAGATACGAAGACACGCATGATATCTCCTAAATAAATAAAAACTATCATCAGATAAAACTTGATTCTCCGTTCTTTGGACCCGTTTAGGTTAAAAGTGTCTTCCTTGAACATTATCTGGAAAGAATGCAAGGAAGGGAGGAGGGGATAACGGAGGAGTACAACTTTTTACGGTGTTAAACACAGTGGGATAATTCATCAAAAATTCATTGCAGCCGAAATAAACGCCAGATGAAATAGAATGTTGCATATTCAGATATTTCTTCATAAAAATGAGTGTCAACAAAAACCACTTTCTTTTCACCAATAGCAAGTAGCTTCCGTTTTGGAACAGGAAAAGTTTATCTTTTTTTTTTTTTTTTTTTTACCAAGAAGCAGCCGCGATTGCAGCGCTCGGAGAAAAACAGCGCGAACATAAAATGCAAGCGCTCGGATCCGTGTCTTCACTTTTCTGTTGTATCTATAGCTGCTGCTTGCGAAAGCTTTGTAAGTATTATTTACATTTTTAGATATGTTCGATGTTATCGTGTGAACAACAATTAAAGCATTCGGTATTTTTACGTCAGATACTATATGAGAAACTTTCTCTTCTTCTGAAAATTTGATCCCTAGACGTAATGCATCTTAAATAGACAAAGAAAATATGCTTTATAAAATAATCAAAATAGAAATCCAAGAAAAATGCAGATATAAGAATAATTATTTTAATTTATGGAAGTTCATAGATCAGATGAAGGAATAAAATTTCAATATAAAATATATGCGAATTAGTGAAATTTTTTTAATTAGAAATATCTGAAAGTATGTATATATCTATAAAGCAAAATAACTGCAAAACAATAACAGAAAAAATATTATTTGTGCCGTGTACAGAATAAAATTTTGTTTTGTTTTCGAAAATAGCAGAGTTTTTTTTTAAAAAAATGGACACAATTTAAACAATTGGTGCAGATAAAACATTAAAAGTAAACAGTTTTAAAATAATATCACCAATATTTGTACTCATCATGATATCTTACACTGAGTTAAATATATGTGATGTTTGGATTCTATATAAGGGAGAATGTTCGAACAAGTTAAATACATCTCTTTTTAATAAACGTCATTGCGAGGTGTTTATTTCTTTCAGAAAATGAATTGCTTGCTCAAAAAGTATTGCCTTTTATTGAAAATATTAGTTGCAAGCGATCCAGTGAAGTAAACGCAGTTGCATTTTGAATAATTACGTCTTTTCTTAATGAAATAAGTACACGGGTCTCCAAATGACGTTATTTTATTATAAAATAATATACAACATTTTTTAACAGCACATTAAATACAAGATCTTACACCTAATTCTTAAACTAGTAGGTGTATTGTAACTGCTTTGCTTAAAATTGATTTGGCTGTTAAATTGAAACCCGCTATGTTGCTGTGTCTTTTTTATATTTTGATTTTTTACATATTTTAATTTTTTAAATATTTTTAACATTTTAAATTTAATGCTAAACTCTCAGAAGTGCACTGTCCGTACTCAACCATACTCACGCACTGTCCGCACTCAACCATACTCAATCCATACCGAACTTCAAATATGCGATCGGAAAGCGAAATTTGTTTACAATTCCTGCAAAGGAAGTTAGGAGGCCACCTGCGCTATTGTAATATTTTAAATTTCTGAAGTGCATCTTTAAAATTCGAGTCTTAGGTGTTCTTTAAAGTTTTAATTTTGTTACGATACTTTTAGACTGTTGAAATACCGACCGTTACCGAATGCACGATCGTAAATATGTATGCATGACCTAAACTGTGTATTGTGCTTGTCGAAACTGGGATAGTTGTGTAGTTACGTCGATGAACGCCACTTTTGATTTTCGATTACTTTAATTTCAAACGAACATTCGTAGAATTTTACTATTCAATAACGATAGAAATGTCTTCAAAAAACAAACGAAAATAGATTATTTCAGAGCAAGTGGAAAGAAAAATATTTTGTGCAATTTTTTTAAAGACAACAAATGCAAAACTCCTGGTGTTCCACAAAGTATGCCACGAGGCTTACATAAATAAGTAAATAACTCATTAATACAAAGGTGATATAATACAACAATGGTACATAATATCGAGATCTGGAGAAAATAAGGAATGTATATAATAATATGAATACGAATAATAACAAATAATATAAGTACTATAATAATAATAATAAAATATGCTATAAATAATAAGACTACTAAAAGAAATACTACTACTAAAAGAAAATAAATTATGATAATAATAATAATACAAAGGAGATATGATACAGCAATAATTATTGTTGTTGTGACTAATTTCGCTTGTCTGATACCAGATCAAGCCCACGAAATTCATCAGGGCAAGGAGACAAGGTTGCGTCTGTTGTTGGCAACAGCCTTGGTCAACACACAGGTGAAGTACGATGCTCAGCTCTGCCCCAAATTTCGAAGTACAGCGCCTCGGGAACGAGTCCCCTCTCGAGAGGATTTGCGGTTTATTGCATATTTAATGTGCCCCATGCCGCACAGGCACTATACATTTTCAAACGTCCATTCTTCGGTATTAGAACCCTGACCCTTCGATACGGCAGTGAGCGTCGCTAACCACTATCCCGGTTGGGCGGCACAATACATGAATGCATAATGTAATCATACAATAGATAAAGTATAATGATAATACAATGACACATAAGAGATAATAATGCGATAATAGATAAAAAAATAATTATACTAAAAGTTTTAACAACAAATAAAGTTGCTCAAGACAGCAAAAGCTTCAGAATTTCTGTAGGTCAGAGAAAACAGGTCTGAGAAACATAACTGAAGGTCAGAGAAAACAGGAGGTCAGCAAATAGAAAGATGCCTTAAACTCACCTTAAAAGTAGTTCTGGCCCTCGTATGGTGTCGTTGCAAATGCGGTCAAGAAGGAGAGAATGAAGTTAATTACGAAGAGAAAAGTAAACAGGCGCATTAGAGTTTATAAGGGCAGATGTAGCGTAAAAAGAAAAAAAAAAAGTTTTTAGGTCTCGTTCAGTATTAGTATATAACAGCGATTCTCAACCGGTGGTACGCAAGAGAACAATAGGTGGTACGCAAAGAAGCAAAGTACTTTTTACTATCAAATTCAAAAATTAAATACCCCAACATCCTGTTTAATGTATGCGATCTGAGCTTTGCTCAAGGTCTATAGCCGCTCATAGACTTTAGCAAAATAACCCGTTTTTATTTTCACAAATATTCTTTTAGCCATAGACATAATAAAATTCATAAATGATGTTTTTATAAAGAGGATTAGAAATGGATACAGTTTTAATAGGAAATAAAAGTCCCTATAAAAAGGTAATAGTATCTCATTAATTCGATTTGGTTGGTCAATTTATTAGTATATTTGCTCTTTATTTTGCCACCATTTCTGGTCTTATATTGCTCTATTTTCAATTAGAATAAATTTTTTGCTTTGATTTGCTGTTTCTAACAGCAAGTATTTTGTCTTTTTGTTGCTTTGTATTCTTTACTTTTCTACGCGATTTGAAAATATCGTCGTTTGATTTTGAAGAAATCGTAATAAAATGTGCATTTAAATATTTAGGAAAAATAATAAAACAAACTTAGATTTTCAAAATGGAAAAATGGCTAGGATTGACAAAGCGAAAAATTGATGATTCACAGGTAATGGATCCAGGACATTCTACTAGCACTAGTAATATTGAAAAGAAAAAAAAAAAAAAATTATAGAAAATGTGATGAAAGTTATCCTCAACCTCAATGTGTTGTCTGCGTCGAACTATTATCCAATCAAAATATGAAACCATGGTTTCTGAAAAGACATCTTGAATCTAAGCATGCCAATTTAAAGGATAAATCTGAAGAATAATTTTCAAAAATAAAAATAGTACACAAGTAATGAAAGGTTTTGTAACTTCAAGTGAAAGTAATGAAAGGTTTTGTAACTTCAAGGTTTGGAAGCTAGTTACCTAGGAAGCCTAAGAATTACCAAGACTCGGCAGGCTCATATTATTGGAGAAAACCTTATATTACCAGCAGCTTAATAAGACATCGTTTTGACATTATTCAACGAAAAAACAGCTAAGTAACTTCAGAATATTTCGTTATCAAATGATATAATAAGTCGACGAATTCATGAAATGGCAAATTCCATAAAAGAGGCACTTATTCAAAAAATAAAACACAGTGAATATTTCGCATTGGAGTTGGGGGAAAGTTCTGATATAACAAATTTTATTTAATTATTAATTTATAAACATTTCGAAGAAGATAAACGAATTGCCGAAGAGTATTTATTTTGTGAATCTCTTCATGATAGAGCAACTTCAAATGAAATTTTCAAAGTAATTGACAAATTTATGCTTGAGAATGATATTCCTTGGAATAAGTGCATTGCCATATGCAGTGATGGAGCCCGGCCTTTGACAGGAAAACATTCCGTTGTTATTACTCAAATAACGAAAGCCGCACCTGAAACTAAATTTACTCACTGCTCCGTTCATCGTGAAGCTCTAGAAGCCAAAGCAATCCCCGAAAACCTGAAAATCGTTTCGAATCAACTGTGAAAATTTTCAATTTTATTATAAGTCGAGCTTTAAATTCAAGAATATTTAGGATTTTATGCCAAGAGATGGGCAGTGAACAAACATGAAACGCTTTTGTTACATTTCGAAGTAAGGTGATTGTTATATATAAAGTTTTCAATCGTCTTTTTGAACTTCGATCAGAAATACAGATTTTCCTCTGCGACTTAAAATTTTAATTGCAAAAATGTTAATTTAGGGAATTATGGTTGGCTTGTTTAGCATGTTTAGCTGATATTTTTGGAAAGTTAAATGAATTAAATTTAGGATTAGAAGGACAAGGTGTTTATTTGTTTACCATCAGAGATAAAATAAATGCAATGATAAAAAAACTCGAGTTAATAATCAAAGAGTTGGATAATAATATTTTAAGCTTTTTATCACTTTTAGATTTTTCTAATCTAAATTTGAAAAGAAGAGTAAAAGAAAAATGAGCAGCCGACATTAAAAAATCATTGTTTTTCATTGATAAATAATTTCAACATATATTTTACCGAAGATTAGGAAAAAGAAAATTGGATTAGAAATCCATTTTGTTCAAATGTAATTGAAATTTTATCTTGTGAAGAAAAAGTACAAGTGATAGTAATTTCCTTTGATCAAACTCTAACTAAGGATTTCAAAAACAACACACTTGTTAACTTTTGACCGAACCGAAAAAAACAAAATTTAAAGGCATTTCAAATAAAGCTATCAAATTTTTATTGCCTTTTTGCACAACCCATCTGTTTGAACAAGGATTTTCCATGTTATATTTGAAAAATAATTCAGAGCAAAATTAAAAGCGGATCGTAATTTACGGTTAAAACTAAATGAAATAAGACCAGACATACACTGATCTGTCTTAAAAAGGCTAAAATTTCGCACTAAATTTTAGAATGAAAGTATTATAACTTAAATTTTG